ATAAAAAAATGGGGCATTTTTTGTTTATCTTTCTAATTCTGTCGATGGCGAGTGTGAACTTTGGAAGTGTTAAAGTGAACTATATATACGAGTGGAAGTACGTTGACTATGACTGGGAAAATCAAAAGCAGATGGAAGATGCGAAAAAATCTGGCATTTATGATCCTTACAAGTGCATAATGTATGATGCATCAAGAGCAGACGGTAGGTTGATGAGAAGTTTTAGAACTATTCAAAAAAGTTGTAATAATTTTGTACAAAAATATGAATACTTTTGTTATGCGACAGCTTATAGTATTATCATATTTTACTGCTACATATATAATCATATTACGTTTCTATAGATTTTATATATATTTTCTGATGTTGTTAATGTAATGGACGTTACTGTTGCCATAAAATTCGCGAAATAAATATATCTTTTGGTAGCACGTAAGTTCCGTTCACAGATAAAATTCTTATAGATGGTAGAGTATTTGTTACTGTACCGAGAGACTTTGGCCTTTATTCACCTGCTACTTTGGCAACAGTAACCAATAAAACAGGACCAGGAGGTCCAATTCTACGTCCGTATCCAGACTGGAGTTGGCATAATAGTACATGTACGTGCAATGGTATTACAAATGTTTACCGAGTGCATGTAAGTATTAATATTTTTCATCGAAGCAGTTATCTCATTTTACATTTATGCAGTATGTCCCAAAATTCGGGAATCAAAATATCAAAGCAAAAACGTCTTCGAAAAATTAAGTGAAATAGTTGTTTGTAAATTTTTATTTTAAGCAGTAGTTTTTGAAATATAAGAGTTTAAATTATGAATTACAATTAAACAAAAACTCCGTGAGTGTGTCGATAGTTTTAGTGGTCGCGCACTTCACGCAAGTACTAATCTATAATTGGCAAAATTTAATCCCTTATATCTAAAAATTACAACTTAAAATAAAAATATACAAATAATTTTTTTACTTAATTTATTGAAGATTTTCTTGTTATGATATTTTGATTTGCGAATTTCGAGACACCCTATATATTATTATTTAAACGACAATTTATTATATTATATTACTCACACCTTATATATGTACACACTTAATATACAGGATGTCTCATAATAGATGTATCACCGTTTATGGGTATAGGTAGATATTTGTTTTAAGTAAAGTGATAAGTGTATTTTGAGACCTTTGTCAAAAAAATATTTTTTGTAAAAATAATGATTATTTAAAGAAAGAAAACTAAAATTGAATATTTAATTAGTTTTCTTAGTACTAGAAAGATATTTTTCTGCATATGCGTACGTGAATAGCAATAGACGTGACTACAATCGCTATACACACAGAAAGAATAATTTTGCTGAGAGGTATAAAAATATTGCCAGATACAGATCTGAAAATAATTACGTTGAACCATCAAAATAATTTTGTTGAAAATTCAAATTAATTGATAGAATATCAAAACGTTTTACAGCAACACTTATCATTTTTAAGTTTTCCATAAAATTATTTCCAGCTTATCCTGCAGCAAAATCATTTTTCCATGAATAGCGCGATTGTATTCGTAGTTTTAAAATATATTTTACTTAAATCAAATAATATTTATTTAACATTTTTGTATGTAGCTCAGCTTATTATTTTGACTTTCCTATGATAAAATTTTATAATGTTTTTGAAAAAGTATAAATTCGTTTTTTGAGTACTCATGATAATGACTTTTCTAAAATGTGTGATAAGTACATTTCAAGTCTATTATCAAAAAAGTATTATTTATTAAATATAATTGTCAAACTTATTAAAAGAAAAAAAAGTAAATAAATTGAGTAATCGCTTATATTTGATGGTAGACCGCAGGCTAATACGATAATTATTAATTATCAATTAATTTGCAAATTTTGCAAAATGGTACTTTTCGATTCAGTTTAGTCTGCTCTACCTATCCATAAAAGGTGATATACCTATTATAAGACACCCTGTATAGTCAGCTTGATGACAATACATAAAATGGAATTTTTACTTACACCTCAGGCTAAATGCAATCACATCTTCGTTCTGGATAACGGCAAAATTGGTCCAAATCAAACTTGTAATCCAAAACTATTGATCTTCGATTCAAAAGATAAGTTAGTTGAAACTATTTACATTCCACTTAGTATCGCTACTAACCAAACGGGCTTTGGATCATTAGTAATGCCTTATGTTTATGTTGAAAATGAAAACTGCACGCAGTTTCTGGATAAAATGATTGTAAGTATGTCCTTTTTTTGCGGTACTTTTAGTTGTACAGTAGTACAAATTTGTTTGTGCAAATATTATTTAGTTACACATTTATTTATGGATATATTTCGTATTTTACATATTTAAGTAGCCCTATATATACGAATATATATATATACATATAGATTATTATAGATAATTATGGCTGACATGCAAGGTAACGGTTTAGTGGTGTATGACTCATCTACAAAGCGTATGTTCAGAGTCGAATCTGATAACATGAAACCGATTGACCCTTCCCTCACCATAGCAAACGTAACTTTTATTTATGAGGGCGGTCCCTTCAGTGCGACAGTCCTTAATGGTGGCAAGTATCGTTTTTTAATGTAACAAATATTATTTTAATCAAGGTTGGGAAATAACGCGTTACTCGTAATGCCGTAACTGGCATTTTTTGTTACTTTTTATCTGTAACAGTAACGGTAACATTTTTATAGTAACGGTAACGAATTTGTCGTTACTTTTATTGTTACTTTTTATTCTTTTATTTTCTTATTTTATGATACATTTTTAATTTATTTCTTGGAAAATACTAGCACTACAGACGCGCACTTCGCGCGCGCTATTTGGCTGTACTTTTTACTTTTTACTATTATTTACAATTACACATCAACTTTAATGCACGCAACTGTCAAAAATATGCAATGACATCTCACGAAGTAAGCACAGCGGGACAATCAATCAACGTCACGGAATAGAGTCAACAATAAATTTCGAGACTTTTCAATAATTCGACTTCGACTTAACATGCTTTTTTTAGATAGGATTTTGTACTCTATATACCTCTTAGGCTACATTCCGATAGTTATTACCAACATTAAAAATCTATAATTCACATTACATATACATAGATATATACTATAGATTTATGTATACTATAGATTTTTAGTATTAACATCAATCAATATTGGAATGCACTCTTAATAATGACGCTAATGCTTAAAAACAATAAATTTAATCTAACTTATATAAAAATAAATAATATAAAGAAAAACTTGCTCTATACATATACAGACTAGTTTAGGGCGTTTCAAGTTATAATATTTATTATTACATTTAATAATGATTATATATCAAATAATATGAATTTAAAATCTAATTAAACTTATTTTAGAATTACAAAAATGTAACGGAAAAAGTAACGAATGTTATTTTTCAAGTAACGGTGACAGTCTAACGCGTTACTTCTTTAAGATAACGTTCCCAATCTTGATTTTAATTATAATACACTGCTCAAAAAATTAGGGGATCACATTTTCTCCCAATCAGTATTTTGGAACATTTTTAAACTTTGATAACTCAGCAAATAATTAATGTGAAAAATAAATAAAAAGGAATTTTACAGGGCAAACTCTCTATAAGACGCTTTTGATCAATTTTCAGGTTGTCAATTTAATACTCAAAGGCGTGATCAGCTTTAAATGAAGTATTTAACACATTTGAAATCTTGAAATTTACGGTCTTTCACGGTCTAACAAAAAAATTGGCAAACATAATTATTGATATATCATTTTAAAGTATGGATCTAAGTCCTTTCAAATAAAAAAAACTTTCTCCTACGTTGATTATTTTTCGAAATATTTTGGTATTATATTTATTTATATTTTAAAATAACCTCTGTTTTTTACGATACCGCCAGCGTAATTCGATGTGCACCACGGGGAGGTTTCTCGATTAAATTTTGCACGTCGCGTGTGTGTGTAGTGTACACATTTGCATGTGTGTATATGTAGAATCTTTTTTAATTTTCTTTTTAATATAAAGTGTTGCTTTCTTTTCGCTAAATCACCTCGATATATCTTGATTTCATATTGCATTTTTTTATTTCAGCTTGAGAAATTTTGTTTCAAATTTGACGTAGTGCCCCTTCTAAATCTACCAAAGTTGTCGAATGTCTTCGACGATTTCTCAAACGAGCGTCAGAAATCGTCGAAGACAGCCGACAACGTTGACAGATTTAGAAGGAGCACTACGTTAAATTTGAAACAAAATTTCTCAAGCTGAAATAAAAAAATGCAATATGAAATCAAGATATATCGAGGAGATTTAGCGAAAAGGAAGCAATACTTTATATTAAAAAGAAAATTGAAAAAAATTCTACATGTGCAAATTCTCATATGCAAATGTATGTACATACACACGATGTGCAAAATCTGACGGAGAAATTTCCCCGTGGTGCGCATCGCGTTACGACAAATGCCAGCAGTATCGTGCTAAAATTGTAAAAAAAAAACAGTGGTTACTTTAAATTGCAATATCTCACTAAATAGTCGACAAGAAAAAAAAATTTTTTTTTATCCGAAAGGGGCGGCAAAGTCCGTATTTTGAGATGCTATTAATGATTATGTTCGCTAATTTTTTTGTTAAGCGGTGAAAGACTATTGCAAATTTCAAAATTTTAGATGTGCCAAATACGTCTTTATTCAAAGCTGATCACGTCTTTGAGTATTAAATTGAATAAAAATTGAACAAAAGCATCTTATCGTAGAGAGTCTGCCCTGTAAAATCCTTTTTTGGTTTATTTTACCTACTATTTTACTACTTTACTTACGTTAATTATTCGCTGAGTAATCAAAGTTTAAAAATGGGCAAAAATTTACTAAGAAAAATTTTTACTAAGAAAAAAAAAAATTTTTTACTAAGAAAATTTACTAAGAAAATTTACTAAGAAATAGTAATCTCCTAATTTTTTGAACAATTATTTAGTTCTATCACTTTTAACGAGTGTTAAGAATTTAATTTTAAACTAACAACCCCTCATTTCCATTCGTAATTTCCTTTGCTTGTTT